TTTCGAGTTTTCGGAAAAGGGAAGCTTTCTTTATCGTTTGGTTGTTTTATAAGTGCGATTTTGTTGAAATAAACGCGATTTTTCAAAGTGCTTAAATTCTGACGTTTGCTGTCAGTTAAAGAAAGATGTGTTTTTGAACTCTCCTGGACTTTTCGAAGTTTTCTTCGGCGTTTTGAGCTATTTGCAACCTTGAATGGACTGGCACCCAGGGATTCCCACCATTGAACCTCTATGGTAAATGATAATTTTTTTTGTTTAATAAGTTCTGCAGGACTTGATTAATATGGTTTTTGAAAAATCAAAAGATTTGGTGAAATTTCCTTGTATGAATCAAGCTTCATTAAAAAAAAAACCTGATTTAGCGCTAGAAAGCCGTATTTTAAAATTGCTTTGAGTARGCAGAGCCCCACACGTCCAATTTGSATCTGTAGTCGAATTGTCACTGTCAAAGCAACATCTTCGCGTTTTGCTCCGTCTATATTTAMAAAAAAAACGTCGGTTTTTGGCAGACTTTCTCAAAACAATGTTAAGTTTTCGGACAAGGAGACTTTTCTTTATCGTCTGCTGGTATTTTCGCGGCTGTAGGTGCGATTTTGTTTAAATAAACGCGATTTTTCAAAGGGCTTGATGTTTGCTGTCAGATTAAGGAGAGCTTTTCGTCTGATCGCCTTTGATAATGTCCAGCGCAGTGGTGGACGAAACGTCAGGAAGAAATTCCCATAGACCACGGCTTCAAAGCCCGGAAAACATTCCTAAATGTGATTTAACCGGCCGTGAAAGCCTTCGTAGTCTGATAAGAAAGTTAGTACTTACTTTTTTTTGTAGTTACTACACGCTAATGATCTGGTTTCCCGAGCTGTTCTACCGCTTTGAGGAGTTCGAAAACTTTTACCCGAACAAGAAAGCCACTGTATGTGAGGTTTCGTCAGTGGTGGTGCCCCGGAACTTTACTGCCGGCCATGGGGAGTTTTGCGGCGATCCGATAGCCGATTCCGTGTTCCTGCACACCTTGATAATCGGCCTGGCCTGCATCCCGACCAGCTTTTGGTTGCCGCTGTGCGTCCACCGATTGGGGGCTAAATTTTTCTTAGGTGATTTGGGAACTTTTTCTGAGACGGACAGTTTTCTGATGTTCAAATTGATTTCAGTCTTCAGCTTGTTGGTGGCCGGATCAGTCACCATTGGCCTATACTTTGTCAATTCCACAAACTCTAATCTGGCTTTATCGTGCATCTTTGAGGCGCTGACCAGCTTAGGGATCAGTACTGTGTACTGCGTCATGGTGGACTTGTTTCCCACGAATTTAAGGTATTGCTGATGGTCACGTGCGCAGCAAGTGAGCCTCAAAGTTTCCTTTTGTGTGATTTAGGGTGATGGCAGCGGCTCTATCGCTCACCTTTGGAAGAGGTGGTGCCTTGGTGGGGAATCTCCTGTTCGGTTTTCTCATCGACTTGAACTGCGTGATTCCCATCGTGCTCTTCGCCGCCATGCTTTTCGGTAAGTTTTTCGCCGAAGTTAATGTGAATTTTCTAATTGGCTCTCTGCCTTGCAGGCAGCGGTCTGCTTTGCCTGTTGCTGCCCAACACTGGAAGTGGAGCCCTGGATTGAGAGTGGGGCCCAGTAGTGATTCACCTTTTTCCATCGCGTGTGAGATCAAATAACGAACAAACGACCACATAAAGTGCCAGTGCTACTTACGTGTCTCTTGCAGCTTGGTGGTCTTGATGGTATAAAAAGTACGGTAGATTTTTCTCAATCTAGCAGTTACTCAAGCAAATAGTCTGAAAAACCGGGCTTCAAGAGGCGCCGCTTTCGCGCATCATCATAAGGCATCTATTTTTGTAAAACGCAGTTTTTAGACGTATCGGTTTACATTTATTTGGCAACTCACGGTATTTTTATGTGATATTACATTGTACATTTTGTAAAGTACGCAATAAGTAATGCGTTGGATCGGTGCTGCCACAATCAGGGAAACATGTTCACCTTTGAGTAAGGAGACGAATTTTTCGAAATAACCATTCAGCAAATTCCCATACGGACGAATTAAATAAACTATTGTAAAACGTGATAAAGCAACAACGATTCCTTGAAATTTATTTCATCCAGCTCATTGTGTCTAGCTAGACTTTGAGAAAGCGTTGAGCAACCCGCAACTTTGTGCCGTAGTCATTTTTTTAACTGGGCAAAAAAACTTAGTAATAAGACAGTTTTAAAAAACGTGAGCTGGCTGAATGTACCAAACTTTTATTTTAAGGCATCACATTTCCTCTCTTGGAATTTGAACATTTTTAACACGTAATTAACGCTGTAATTACAATGGAAAATCTTATCTAGGGCCCAAATCTGATTTTACTTTGCCAACATACAAAGTGCCTCAGCAAGGTTACTATTTTAAATGGCTAGATAAACATAGACTAGTATTTATGGAATGATAAACTATAGACTTAATACTGTACAAATGTTAGTGTACTTATTTTATTATTACCATTATTTTGTTGTTTTAGGGAACTATTTAGCTACGATCAGAATAATTGCCCTCTATTACCAATAGAGGAATAAAATTGTTTTGTTACGTTTTTGTTTTTGTCCATGCAGACGCTCTCTATTGGCGAAATTTTCGGTTTGTATCAGCAAGCAAATATATCTGTGCTGATACAGTTGATGCAGAGCGAGTCTTCGCATCACTTTCACAGCTTTATGATTTAATTTGCCATCATTTTCGTTGTTTGCGGAAGGGACAATGTGGGATTATAAGGGAATATCCATTGAAACTCGGTTTTAATTTAGCGTGTTGCCCCGTAAATGTGCAGGCGATTTTTAATTCATGCCATGGCTCTTGCAGCTACTTGTTTTACAACAGCAAATTTGTGAATCTACAGTGCCTTTCTGAGGGCTGAGTGTTGTTAACTATTTTAACTATTTTTAAGCAACCCTGCCTTAGATTGTTCTGGATAAGAAACTCATATAGGAGTAAGTAGTTTTCAGCACCTGGAATGAGATGGTTGTCTTAAAAAAATTAGTGCTCAGGTGTTAATCCGAAAAAATTACCATCACCATCAGCATATAGTTGAACACTCCCAGTGGTACAGCGTCCAAGCCAATGGGTTGTTGGGTTCTGAGCAAGACCAATGGGATCATTTTCTGTACTTTAAGGCTGCAATTATACCAGGTGCTTGAGTACAAAGCGTCTCCGATGCTACGCATCTGCAACACCGTAGTTATTCGAGAGTTTTTTAACGGAAACTTGTTTGTACTTGATCTTGCATGTTTTGCCCAGCATAGCACAAGATGCACATAGATATGACGTAAGTGGCCTGATAGGTGAGAGACTGCAGGCTCTTTTCCTAAGAACAGTGTATTAGAAATGGGCGTTTCACAAATATTAAAACAAGTAGAACCTGAATGGAATGATGCCCAAAACACGCCACCACTGTTACAAAAGTCAGCGCTACATGTCCAGTTGTGTATTTAGCCACATAATTCAACTTTCTGCATAATCTAAAACACAGTGGGCGCATAGATCCATGTGCTGAAGGTCTTGCCAACTTGCCTGATTATATGATGGTGATATTGAACATAAGCCAGAAAGTGATGCAGCTGAAGATCCGGATTCTCATTGCTGCCGACTTTCCTCAGCAGACTTTTTAAATGATCGATTCGGTATGCTATGAATTCGTTGGCCTGAAGCACCAGCGACACTATCACGGTAAAGGGGGCGATTGCCCAACAAGCCAACAGTTGATAGATTAATAATAAGCGTTTTGCTAGTTTGCTCTCTGCGTGTGATGCAGGGAACCACGTTGGTAGCAACATTCCGCAACTGGTTTTCCCAAAAGTTAGCTGCAAAAAGACACTGGGTTTTTACCGGTTTAATGATGGTAAATTTGAATTATTTAAACAGTGGCTTTTTGAATGAGACCTGAACACGAATATGACTTTGCCACTCTTAACAACTGCAAAATAAGAAACTTTCTTCGAACCACCTGGTAAAATAACGCACACACGCTCTAATTTTTTGCATGCTGGTACCTTTTTTTCGCACTCTTCTTCCAACAGCACTTGCAGAACGCAATACATAACTGCAGCACAGAAGAGCACTTTAAAGAAGGTGATCCCCACTTTGCTTGCATTTGTCTGAACTGTGTTGAATTTCGGTGGCTTGCCATATTTTTGAAAATCTATCAGAGCGTCCATCAAATGCGACCAATCCTGATGCTTCAAGGCGAAATGCAGGCAAATCAGCGCTAAGCTGCTGTTGCCAATCAAGTAGCCCATTGCCTCTGTGATTCCGTGACTACTTTTATCTTAAACTTGATCGTGCAATGCCGAGTCCTCTATTTGCACGCAACTTACTTTGTATGCTCAAATAAAGAAGAATGATTAAATTCCACAGAGTGCCGGTCCAGAGGGACATCCAGCAGACCAGACAGTAGAAAAAGAGCTTCTTATTATAATTGCTGCTTTTCGGGTAATAACCCGCGAGCTTAAGAACCAGCAAGTTGTGGTAAAAGGGCAGCCCTTTGCGAACCGGGTACAGCATGGTGAAAGACCCTCGAGACAAAAACCAGCTGGGTCAACCCTTCTTATACCCTCATCGGCGGCGGCTTCGTCTTTAATTAACTTGCGTCGTATGACGAGATGTTTCATTAGCTGATTGTAAAATTACAGAGAAGCGCAACGGTTGCACAAACAGAACTTGCTGGCTAAATTCGCTAATTGGATAAGTGCTTATAATGGGCCTTCAATTACATGGGAACAAGCAGATTTCCCGTTCCCACTGAGTAATCCAATTAAAAAAACATGCTTAAAGTTAAAAAGGCTTCATTTAGAAAATATGAAATGTACACTACATCGCCGCTCTACTCGAATAGCTCGGAATGGAGCTGAATGGCACCATCGTCCACTGGCACTTTTCGTTGGAAATTCTCACTGCCACCGTCAAGTACTGGGGGAACAGCCTATTAAGAACTTCGTACTCCTGCAAATCATTCAACAGTTATTTAAATCCAGTTCAGCAGTAAAAAGCAGTAACAAACCTTTTCAAAGGGCCTGCTGAAATCGGCTTCGTTCTGAAGGCGCAGCTCAGTGATTAAGGCCTGAATGGGGTAGACTGGGACGCAAAATAGGGGCGCATTAGGCGCCAGAGACGCCTTGAAGCCGTACAGTTCCTTTCCGTAGCCGAGGGCAGCAAGCAGGTACTCGTGGCAAACTTCAATCGCTTCCTCCAGACGCCCGGCGCGATGGAGAATTTTAATCAACTCGCCAGGGTTCCGCATCTATGGAAAAGTCCACAGTGTACATTGAAGAAAGTTTTAGGAGAACCAACGCACCTTATAGGAGGCCAGCAGCCAGAATGGCACATACATCCTCAAGCTAATAATTTTCTCGCACACAACCTTGTGCAACACTGTGGAGTGTGGTTCTTCATATTTCATCAGATAGGTTTTCAGCAAATCCCACACTATCGACGCCACATTCTCTCTGTCCGCCGATAAATCTGCAAATGAAGCGCTTGCTTGAGAATCAACCATTTGAAAGAAATTAAGAACACAGCGCTCTTACCCTGTAAATCGTTTTCGAGTAGCCAAGACCAGGCATCATTGTGTGGATCTTCGCTGAGCGAGACGCAGCGCCAAGTCAGCGCTTCAAACACCGACCCATAAGGCAGATTGAAGGTGCTGCAAATCTCCAGCGCTGATTTGAAATGGCCTACGCTGTTCAATAGGGTGACCAAGTCTTCGGGAGCTGGAAAACATCGCTAAAACCCCCTAGTTCATAACTCGTAGACTCTCCTCACCTGTAATATGCGTGGCTAAAGTAGGCTGCGTTCGCTCTAGTTGCAATTTGGCACAGGCAAAAGTCAGGGCCTTTTTAATCGTATCGACTGTGACTACTTCCACTTGCTTTTTGATGCGGAACATTTCGCTGTCCTTTTGCAGCCCGGCCAAACATTCGAGAGTGACTTCGTTGGGTTCTTCGTCTGGATCCGCTGGGCGGATCACCCACGCATACTGAAACCCCGAAATTAACCCAAGTATTCCCTATCGAGCTCACCTACCTGAGGATCGACTAACTGCAGCACATTTTTGGCTGCCAGGTAGCATTTGACCTGTTTTTCCAAAGAATCCGCCGATTCGCACTGCGACAGCCTGTAGGCCTGCTCATACATTACGGAGGCAGCTAAAAAAGAATACATTTAGTTTGCGAATTAATCCAATAAGCAATCAAACCACTCACCCAACCTGTGGCAAAGCGGCCCCCGTTTAACCTGGTAAGCATATAGGAAGTCGTAGAATATATTGTTGGCTGCATCAATGGCTCGAGCTCTGGTCAATAAGATGCTGGTGAACAACTCGTCCATGTCTGGAAAGCCCTAAATTAGCAATCGGCACAACAAACGGCGCAAAATCCCGTACTTACCACCATACGTGAAACTCAACAGCATATCAAAGTTCCGCTCATCAAGCAGAGTCTTCACCAGATCGCGCAGGTTGTCCTTTTTCCTTTCGTTGTCAGGATTGGCCTTCAAGGCGTAAAAGGCTTCTTTGTAGTGGCGCAGCGCCAAATGGTGCTTAAACTGCACGGAATACAACGTGGCCACTCTCGGGTTGTCCGCGTCGATGATACTCAACGCAGTCTTGGCTGTCTGGATGGAACAGTCGCGCGATTTGTGCAGCTCAAACAACTGAATCACCTGCCAAAGGGTTTGAACTTTGAAGATTTCACCGACAACCACCAGCTTCAGTTACCTTCAAGTAGTAGGCGATATAGGCCTGGTTGCCGGTCTCGCCTTTGATCAGCTTCTGCAAGAACGGCTCGTGCAGGATTCCTTTAGCGGCGATCTCAAACAAGTCCAGCGCCTTGTAGTTTTCGGCGCTAGTCAAAAAGGACACCGCCAGCAGAAAGTTGCCTGCAAACCCAGTCTAGATAGAGTGGCCAACGGCGTCTAAGCCTACTTACAGCTGGAAATGTTCCAATCACACCAAGTGCCGAGCAGTTTGACGTACTGCTGCAGCCAAACGTGCTGGCCGCTGCTCACCAGCCACTCGGGCAAGACTGTGCTGGTTTTAAGGGGCCAAAGGGTGTAGCGCAAGCTACTGACAAACGGCAAAAGACTGAGATGCCAATGCGCCATTGCTCGCTCGTTGTATTCGATTTTGGCCAAGAGTTTTCGGGCTTCCTGCCCTCCAGTAGAGGACGTGAAAACCTCCAGCAGAGAAAAAACCGTGCCTTGCGGCCTCACATTGAAGGCGGGAGTAAGCTTAATGGGCGTCAGCCGCTGTAGAGTGGATTCCCTGGAAAATTACCCCCGTTTAGGCGAGTTTTTGTCAACCAACCTTTAGCTGACGCACTGTGGAACGTTGTTTAAGGCAGGCAGCTTAGTCAGCCACAACATCACGAAGTAAGCTTGAGTGAGGTAAATTATTTCCGGCTTGCACACTGAGTAGATGGCCTCTGAAACGTTCGTCTGCAAAGTGTCGCCTTTCACCAAAATTTCGCACATTGTCAGCAGATTTCGGCAAATGGAAAACCTACGGAACATTCGAGGAAAAACGTGGCTTGGAGATTAGTTCTCGCTCCTTTCCTCACCTGTTTTGACACTGCTGTCTTAGACAGGAAGCCACGAACGACACCCCCAAAGTACTGCTGAAATATCGTTGGGCGTTCGGGTTGATCTCATTGTTCGGGTTGCTTGCCGTCGAATCATGCCGCAGTAGTTCCAAGAGCTTGTGAATCACCTTGTACAGATCCGCCGTTTGGTTCAGTTGGGAGAATAAGTGCTCGCATAGAGTGTTGAACTAGAACCGACTCATTAAAGCAGTCAATTCCCCCCAAAAAAAAACCCAACTACCTCATGCTCCATTTCAGTTTTCAGCGTTTCCAGCAGCTGCGTGATAACGCGCTCCGGATTCAAGTTGATGCTGAGCTCTGCTTCAAAGGTCGCTTTAAACTGGGCGCTTAGCTGATTTTCCATATAGACGAGGGCTTCGAATAGAATGAGCAAGTCGTCCAATACCTGCCCACTGTTGGCCCCATCCTCTACAATATTTTGCAAGCCGTATTGTGGCTCAGTAATGAGTAAATCGAATTACCGTATTCCAAAACATCGAAATTGATAAACTGGGACTTATAGAAGAAGTTGCTGCATAAGGCCATGTGCTCCAGCGGTTCCATCGGCCGGAGAAAGGAGAATGTGCCCTTTTTCAATAAAATCGCTCCCGAGTTCTGGGGCAGCAGCATAAACCCTAGTGGGCGCAAGCTGGCCCGATGGTACTGGATGCAGCATGAGTAGAATTTCTGCCAACACCTGCAAGTAGTTGAGGGCTGAATAGACAAACAGTTGTTCAGTACTTGCAGCCTTTACCATTCGGAATACTCCAAAAACTCGTGATCAACCACGTCGCCCTCTGAAAAGCAACTTTGTGTGTCGCTCTCTATGGCCAAACATATCGCTTGTTTAAGTGCCGCCACTGAGGTCAGATTTATTTCCGTTCCCATCAAGTTTGACTTTCTATAAATCTGAAAACAAACATTATCACTGATCATTACTGACACTTTTGTACTCTTTATCCTTACCCCTAAAGCCTTGTTAATAATATGAAGGGGAAATCGGCCGGGATGGAAGAGATGCTGCAGATAAAACTGCCTAGGATCACACTCCGCACTGTTTCGAGGCACCTGAAAGCGAAAATTTTGATCCAATTGACTGGCACAGTTGCATTAAATTACTTCTGTATCGTGAACAACTTCTTTGACAATGGGAGTCCACACGCGAGACTGAAAGGACGCCGAATAGATAACGCAATCATCATCGTTGATCCTCCAAGCTGCCCAAATGCGGTTGAATTGCAGGGCAAAGTCAATCAAATCGCTCTTAAAATAGAAAAAGATTCTAGGAAACGTTCGAAGATAAACGGCTAAACTACAAACCTCGGCTGATGTAAGGGTGTTTAAGATTTTAACTTGGATTTGCTGGGGGCTGAGGATGGTCCTGATAATGTGAAACTGGCAAGTGTCTGAGAATTTTAGGAAAATCGCAAATCGGTTGTCTTTGTCTCGTTGTTCCATTGACTTCCGCAACGCAGCTAGTTAAACCAAACAAATACAACATGCTTTTCAAACCGACCACCACTCTGAAGGTGATAAAGACCTGATTGTAATTTATCCGAGCCATAGAGACCAATTTCGGCCAGAACATCCACTACTGCGAAGCATTGCTCATTTCGACCTGACCAGAACTTCAAGTGACCATTCCTTGTTAGAGTTAGGATGTAGATTTCATAATCTATCGTATCAATTAAGGTGCTGATTATTTGATTGTCGTTACTTTGTTTCGCCCTGCAATAAACATCAGGATTGCCAGTTTTGCCTCAATGTGTGTGTTAAATGCTTGCCTGAATTTCTCCGTCAAGCCCGATAAAAACCTGGGCATTAGCGATTCGCCTTTCAGCTCTTGGCATGTTGATTTGCCTTCCTTGCTCAGTTTAATCAACAGCAGTTCAGACGAAGGGTATGCTAATGTAAAAATGGCTTCCTCTGCATCAGCATTGTAGAAGGAACTGGCAAGGTTCGGCAGCTGATCGACTAAAAATTCTCAATATTGAAAATGTTTCAACGTTAGACATGGTAACACCTACTAGCTGAGTTGGGGCTATTGAACACATAAAAACTGTTGGTATTCCTAAAATCAGAAGCTTTGACCTTTGAAAAAATCGACGGCGCAGCTAAGTTCGGATGGATTCCTAGCAGATCATCCTAAAAAATAATATCGTCAGCCGTTGACCGTAGAAAAAGTTGCTAAAACACTTGCTTGTGTATGAAACTTGGCAGGATGCGGGAAAATCAGTCTATGGACACTGCAAACAGTGGGCACTAGAATCAGTACATTTTCCTCAGTTTCCCGGACGGAAAGGCCATCGATTATAGGACTATCAGTGAATCGGATTTTCAGTTTATTTCCTGTTAGATTCACGTCCAAACTGTGCTCAATTAACTCTAAGCAGTCGCCGATAATGCGCCTAGAAAACGTGAGTGTAGACTCTATGACTATATTCAACTTATGCTGTGTTATTAGTAGCACAACAGCACTGCACAGATGAACATACCAGTATATAAAACGGTTTCTTGTATAAACCTTTGCTGAATCCTCATAGCTGTACCCATTAGCCTTCTCGGTGGCTTTTATGTCCTGCAACGTGCTCTGAGTGCCCCCTAAATCAACAGTAAACTCATGTTAGCATGGGGGTAGACTAGGTCCAGTATTTCTGCTATATTTAAACAAACTAGTACACATTTCCGAACTAGCTACCTGTCGTTAGGGTGATTTCGGTCCATTTCTCGAACAGATCTTGGTCCGATATCACTTCGCGGTAGCCTAAGGTAAACTCGGTCATTCTGGGAACCAACACACACCAACAAAACGAGTTTAAAATACTATTTCTGGATTTTAATAAGTAATAACAAGCAGCGGCTTTTAAACAGAATACATATAACCTCAAACTTCAAAAGAGTTTCAGTGGTGACCTCTAGTGAGCGCGAGTAGAAGTAATCTCAGATTGCCACCGCTTGCAGATGAAATCCTTTAATGATCGATAATAGAGAAGATTCCTTTCCGATTGTGTTCAGCGGGAAATTTGAAGCGGAAATCTTGGTTTAAATGTAAGGGCTGGGAATAGGGCAACATAATAAAAAAGTGGAGTTTTAACGAGATTTTATTAATAGATTAGAGTAAATGTTACCTAATATCTATAATTGCTATAACTTGATAGGAAAGGCAAAATATGATTATTTTTTATTATTATTAGTACATCACGGACAATAAAAAGAAAAATCTCAATAAGGAAATGAATTACTAGCAAATCGGCGTCAACCAACTGAGATGAACGAAACGCGTGGATATACATGTTTTTACAATACGCCTAATTGTTGATATTACGTGAGAGCAAACCTAATTACTACGAAGAGACTGTAGGCTCTTGGTATGGCAATGGTACAAAAATAGTTGAGGTTGAAATTTAAGGCTTGTTCTAAAAATAACGACATTTAAGATCGACGATTTCACAAAAATTACTTGCAGTTTTACCCTTAAAACAGCTCGAAATTGAACAAAGATGGGGTGTAACATTAGCAAACAGCAGCCACATTATACACGGCGTTTGCTGCAATAAGTATTAATAATTTGGACCGCCAATTATTAATATTTACTTCTTTTACAATGATTCAATAATAAAGCTCTATTTCTTGTTTGTTGTTGAAAGTTTGAGAAAACAAATTCAAATTTCGGCAAAAATCCTGTTCAATTAGAATCTCTAAGTGGTGAAAAATATAACAATCTTTTTAGTACACCATGTAGAGCTAACGTTTGTTTAGAAACTAATTTTCCGTCAGAATTCATTTATAGTCACACTAGCCTATGTTAGTAGAACACGCGTCAAAATTTACATGCATGTATGTTCAATAGTCTTTTTGTCACGATTTAGTTTTCAAGCCCATATGTGAATTGGCATAGAGAATGTTCACAATAAAAATGCCTTTTTGGTGCTGCGCTTCAATGTTAGTCCAAAAACAAAAAATCTATAAGTATATCAATTCGCCTGATGATTGATTGATTTAAGATCTATGCCATTACAATCGACCTAATATAAAAATTGCGATTTGTACATCTGTTTTTTCAATTTTCAAAGTACATACACTGTTAATGGCGAGTTTTCGAACAATTCCTCGGCTCTAAATGCGCCGAATTTGATTCTGGCAAAACACACCTGATTGGAATAACTGGGCAGGAGAAATTGTTTGAAAACTTCGCCTGTTCAAGATTTGAAATGACTAAGAAACCGACCGTACCTAAAGTATATTGCAGCGCAGCTTGAAAGGGAATCCTCGGCCCGGCCCCTGGAACTTGTTCGACTTTTTTCCTTTGTGAAATTTGTCCTTTCGTATCTCCCGCACTAGAGAGTAAAAGGCATCATCTACGCCCATCCGAGTTTTCGCTGAGGTCTCGATGAACGGAATATTGTACTGTTTCGCAATCTAAACGTAAAAAGCAAGTTGTTTAATTTCAGTCCTAACTTACTAGACGGGCGTCCGCTTACCTCTCGCGCCCGGTTCATATCGACTACCCAAGACGGCAAATCGCACTTGTTTCCTACCAGGACCATGGGAACATCCTCCGTGTCTTTCACCCTAAGGATCTGTTCTCGATACACCACTATGTCATCGAAACTCTTCACAGTATTTACAGCGAAAACTAACAAAAAACCCTCGCCTGTTCTCATGTACTGGTCTCTCATTGCGCTGTACTCTTCTTGACCTATGGAGGAATAAACCCAAGTTATAACTACAATCAAACCTGACTGATTTTTTGCTCATCATACAGCCTTTAGGTAAAGAAGTGAATGCTAGTGGCACATTTAAAAGGCCACCCATGGTTTACGCTAGTAGCAGTTATGAACCGAATAAACAATAATCAAGAATGGTCGCTCATACGAACTTGTTCTGGAGACTCCTCAACACTGAATTGGATAGTGAAAAGAATATTTAAATCTCCACCCAACTGTCCGATAGCTCGACATAGGAAATAAAGGAGAATTTGAATTAGACAAATGGTAAGAAAGTAGCTCAAAACTCACTCAAACTACTACTATCCCAAATACATAGATTCTACCGTATTCTCGCGCTTAGTAGTAATGTGACCAATAGCCCACAGGAAACCACTTTGAAAATGAAAGCAGCCTGGTGCAATTGAATATTAAGTTACAGAAGAATATGCAAACACAAAGCTTACCAGCAGTGTCCAATATGTCCAATAAACAAGTTTCCCCATCGATCACTACTTGTTTCCTATACGAGTCTTCAATCGTGGGGTCGTATTCGTCCACAAAGTGATTCTGTATTAACTGAATAGTGAGGGCAGACTTGCCTACACCTCCAGACCCCACAACAACCAGTTTGTATTCAGTCATTCTGAATGTTGGGCTACTTTCTGCTGATGAACAAAGATAGTTGAACTTGACTGGTGAACTACACTTTTCACGACCGTTTCGCGGAAAATACAATCACGATAACGAACAACAGCCGTTTAAAGGATGAAAATAAATGTAAAAACACAAAACTAAAAAAAGTTACAAAGCAGGGTTAGTAACCTATTGGTGAGTGATTAGGGCGTGCGTTCTTACAGCATTTTGCCGTCTTAATTCGAAGGAATGCTGTATCTAAATTAGGGTTAGTCATATATGTGTTAAAATAGACGCTTAATTGGTTTTAATTAATTTTAGAATTGCCAAATAAAACAACAAAACCACTAGACGTTTGATTGTGTCATTTTCTAAGTACTTTTGGTTCGACAGTCACTGTCAAATACTAGTTTAAATATTTCGATCATTAATTTGTTTGAATGCCACTAATAAAACGTTTTTGCAACAAACAGTTTTGCGTATTATTAAGCTAGTATTAATAAATTTATCTGTAGCTCTATAAATTAGGCACAACTAGCTGCCAACACCCTATTTGCATCTCTGTCTTTTAGATGGTGGTGAACAGAGTCAATAGACAGTGGACGGAGGTGTTTAAGGCATTTCTGTAGTTTAAAACCTTAAAACCAGCCATTCCGTGCAGAAAAACATTCACCGTGTCCAAAAGGCAACAAAATAAAAATAAGCCACAAATTGTTTGATCGAAATTCCAGCGTCGAACACAATCATCGACACATCAATGTTTAATTTTCACGTTCTTGTCAGAGTTCAGAGTACAGATCACAAAATAACCTCTGTGATCTGTGGTTCAGAGTTGACCAGAGTTGACAACACAGAGTTGACAATTAAAGTCTTAAATTGCTGGAACAATTCATGCCTGTTTTTTAAAGGTGTTCAAAATTATTTAACGTAGAAAACAGTCCCTAATAATAAACACTGAGAAGGTTTTTGAATCTAAGATGTGAATGGGAACAGGTCAGCCTTGAATTTATCAGCTGAATAAAGGTATCTTAACACAATAGGTGAGTGTGAACATTTGTCTTCTAATCCCATTATTACTCATAACAATAAAAAGGCATTTTGAAAGGAATTCCAGTTTCAAAGTATTTAGTGGACTAAATACTTTGAAACAGAATTCAGCTTCATTAGTGCATCTGGTTCACTCGTTTTAGTAATGGTGTTGAAGTGAAATCTTCATGGTTGAGTGAATCTGAAAATCATTCTGTTGTGTTTTTGCCTGCAGCCATGGCAAACTCCTACGTAGACGATATTAAAGTGAAAATTTCCGAAAAGTATAAACCTCCTTGCCGGATCAGCTTGCCCATGTCATACTCCCAGAGATTAACGTTGAATAAACAACTGCAAGACAGCAGACCTACATACGAGTTGGACTTGGAGAAGTCCATTCTCGGTAGATTGGACGAGCGAAAGCAACTGAGAAGCTTGGTACGTAAGACTACTTTGTCGTTTGAATGATTCTCCATACCCAGCTCTCTTTGCAGGCCGAGGATAGAAAGCAGAAAATTGAGCAAGATAGGCGTGAGTTCAAGAAAAAAATTGAGCAAGAGCAAATTGAGAGGCTAGAGAAAATGCAAGCAGAGGCTGCAGATAATAAGTTGCTGGAGGAAGCCAGTAAAGAGGTCTCAAACGCTGACTTGAAAAGCCAAGGTTTTCGGCAAATCGGCCCTAGTGATTCTAGTCAAACACATCCAAACTACATTACCAAAAATGGCATATTGATGCCTATTCCGGTTGCAAACAATTATCCTAACAGTACTAGGCCTTTATCAAGTACAGGATACAAGCCATTGTCACCTAATCTGAAGCCTTTTAACTTGGCGGATTTCGAATCCGATACTTCTAGCCCCTTTGATAACATGGAATTAAAATCCATAAATGACTTGGAAGAACTAGCGCAGGTTTTGAAGACGAATTTCACGCCTAATGTGTATCCGAGCACCAGCCTATTTCAATCTCCAACCAGTTATAATAGCCACAATGCCACGAAGAGTCAGACAGGGTTTTCGCAAGACCAGTATGGCCAAAGCGCCCAGATTCCACAGAATCCTAGTATATACTCGCAGAGTTCAGCTGCCAACCCCTACAGCCAGATAGCTAGTTCCTATAGTCAAGTAAATTCCAGTTTTAGTCAATTTAGCAATCCTTACCGTATCAACCCAAACAACTACCAAGTTCCTAACACCACCAACTACAGTGGCCTCAACGGTTATATGTACAACATTCCTCCTCAGGCAACTAGTCAGGCTCATTTAAACTACTCTAGTAACCCTTATAGTCAGAAGTCCACTGTCGTACCATCACCACTGCAAAAATCGAATTGCAAGAGTGTCCCAGATTTAGTGAAGTCTATAGAGAAAGAACTAACTAATACGCATTTAAGTGATAATCTTGAGAGCAGGCACTCTATTTCGAGCTCTGGCTACACTACCACCAATGTTGTTGTGCCTAAAAGGCCCAAAAGTACAGACTCGGTGTGTTCAAAGACGAAAATGAAACACGTGCCTGCGAATCCATTGGATCAGCTATCAAGTGAAAAGAGAGAAATTTGCCTCAACGTGACTCTAATGGGATTTCCTTTGGATAGGGTGATTAGAGCTTGTGAAGTGATTGGTTGCGACCAGAAGAAGGTAATACATTATTCGCTTATACTCACATATTAAGTATTAAAGTCATTAAAATTACAATTGCAGATTGTGGATCACTTACTTGCACTTTCGGAGCTCCTAGATTTGGGATTTTCAGAGAAAGCGGCCTCTGAAGCCTTGGCAAACAACGACAACGATCGAGATAGGGCGTTAGACCTCTTGATCTCGTAGTTTCTTTCAGAAGAGTCTACAGGCTGTGGTTTTTATGATGTATTTAAATAGACTTTTTTGTGTGAAAGTCGCGTTTTACAATGCAAACTGTTTCGCCTATAGATTTTCAGATTCTGTTATTGGCTGCTGTACTTTTGTATATTTTTCAATTGGAATTTATTTATTTATTTGGCAAATTTGCGTAAATAATATAGGGAATTAGTATTTAAATACCCAAAATTGCGTTCTAAATATCACTTTTGGTTACGGATCTTATGTGTTAAGAGCATTTGAATACTCAAATTGTGCTATTAATGAAAAATGTACCTAATTGCTGCATATTATATTAACTTTATAAATAATAACGTGTTTTTAATCATGTAAAATTTAAAAAAAAAGAGAGAGGGCAATGAGATGACGGAGTGACCTAACCGGACAAACTAACCTCTGTGATTTACAACAACAAATTGAGGTTGTGTTAACTGTCACTGTCGGTGGAATATATATATAAACAATTTTCAAATAATAATATTCACTACTGTTCGCTTTCTTGATCATTACTGAAAATGTTAACTAAAAGTGAAGAGTGCGTGTTCCAGCTGTTAAACCAAAAGCAGAGTGTTTGCAGAATTTGCTTTCATCAACTGGAAGAGGCAACAAATAAGGACCAGGAGTTCTTTAAAATGTTGCAGTTTTCATGTCCAGATCTGCTGGTTAGTAGAATTATTCCTCTAAAGTTATACTTGAAATCTCAGGCATCTGTGATTTGTTCCTGCAGTTGTGTGAAGACCCCCGGCTTCCCCACCATCTGTGCCAAAGTTGCTTCGTTCTTTTACAGAAGTGCTATAAGTTTTTGATTAATGTTCATTCATCGCACACTCTGTTAAATAAGTATTTAGAAACTCTAGGCCCTCAGAGAGATCAACTCTCAGTTGAGAAATTACATTTGTTTTATGAAGTTAAGCCGGAAACTCTTAAACAAGCCAGTAGTGCTTCTGATAATGCTCATTTTAAAAGGGGTGCAACAAACTTCCACGCTTGTCAAAGTTGTATGAAAAAGTATCGCTCAAAGTATGAACTGGAGGCAAGTATAGTTGCATGACTGGTAGGCTTGGGGGTAAAAGTTTGGCTCTTCAGGTGCATCAAAGAGTTCATTCGGGTGAAAAGCCTTTTGCCTGTAGTGTGTGCCAGAAATCCTTTACTGATAACAGAAACTTAAAAAGACACTTGAAAATTCACTCTGGTGAGTAGTTTTGACTGTGCCGCTACAGCAAGTCGACTACGACATTACATTCACTTGCTAGAGGACAAAAAGCACGAATGCCCAACTTGCCAGAAGAAGTTCTTGCACTTGTTCAGCCTAAAAACTCATCAGAGGATCCATACAGGCGAGAAGCACTATGTTTGCGAAATGTGCGGCAAGCCCTTTAACACTTCAGGAGAATTGACTATACATTCCCGCATTCACACCAGATTGAAGCCCTATGCTTGCACCATCTGCTCAAAGGTCTGACGAATGCAATCCAGTGAAAGGGCCGTACAAATGCAATTATTTCTGCTTTAAAGGCATTTTCCAGCAAGTCCACTTTGAACACCCACATGTCTGTTCACACAGGCGACAGAAAGCACTCGTGTGTGATTTGCAGCCGCAAATTTCGCACATCGTATGACTTGAAAGTGCACATGAGATGCCACGACAATGAAAAGCCCTACTTCTGCAAGTACGCCAACTGCGACAAAACCTACAGGAGCAACAGCCAGTTGAATGTACATTTAAGAACCCATACAGGCAAGTTCGCCTGGGATTGAGCGAGGGTGTTTATGAGAAATTCTGAAATTTGCGGCTTTTTTAGGGGAAAAACGACATCAATGTGGGGTGTGCCTGAAAAAGTTTGGAGAGTCCAGTACGTTGAAAAGGCATTTTTTAACTCATGGAGGGACCAGCTGAATTTCTGGGGAATCTGCGAAAAGATCCAAGGACCTCTGCAATTCCATGGTTTAGTGGAAATAATACAACCAGCAGCTTATTTAATTCTTTGTGCTTACATAACTATTCTTACAACTAGTTCATCAACATCAACAATTTGAGTAGTATTTCTGTCGTCTGTTTTTTATTACAT